CCCGCTTCACCCCCCGGGGGTGCCCTGGGGACGCAGGCTCCGCTGGAAGCGGCAAAGCCCGGGGTGGGGGGGGTTGCCGTGAGCCCCCGGCTCCAGCCCAGGGGCTCCTTGGAGCAGGGGCCGCCGTGGGGCTGCCCCGTTGGGATGAGAAATTGGAAGCGGTGGCTTTTCCCTAGTGACTCCCCGGCGCGGAGGAATGATGTTGACTCATTATCTATTGCCTAAGCGAGTTAACGTCTGTCCGACCAGAAGCGGGTCCAGCCCTGCCTGACGACTCTAGTTATCAGCGCTTTGCTTTCATTTTCTGTTCTCTTTTCCTCTAACTGAACTCCGCTGGGTTTCTCTTCGCGCGCAAGACGAAGCTGCTTGGAAAAAGGGACAGTGCCAAAAAGTTCAGTGAGATGCACACACACAAAAAGCTTAAATTGCAGCTCTGGGTAGTGCAAATGCTGAAGGAAAGTCCAGCCTCGTGGTCAGAGTGGAAAGCGCGGTGGGAGGATGCTGAAGGTTTAATCAGAGCAGTGCAATGGGCGGCTCTGCTGATCTGCTGCCCTGCCTCAAGTTTTCCCCTTCACAGCACCACCGTAGAAAGGCTGTTTCTCTAGGAGGTACCATTAATAGTGAACAACAGCTATGTTAGTTTGGGAAACAAAATCACGTGCCAGATCTCGATGTTTTGATAGCGCTGGGGGCGAGATCGGGGCGATAGGGCAGGTTATGCTGCCCCCGGGGCCATGCAGGAGGGAATGCCTCCGTTTTCTGCTCCGTTGACCAGCTGCCGAAGACCTGGCTGCCGCGCGCTGGATTTCTGCTATTCCTGCTCCTCGGCTGCCGCTCCGTGAGCCCGTGTGCAGGGTAAGGTGTAAGTGCCACCGAGTGCTCCTGGCCTCCTTGCAAGTGACCCAGTGTGAAGCTGCTGCCTTTGGGCAGAGCGGTGTCACCTCTGGCACTTCGTGCAGCCCGACAGGGCCACACTGGGCATCTCCTCCCTCGGAGGAGCACGGAGCACGCCGGGCCGTGAGGAAGCAGCATCTCCGGCACCGTGAGCCCGTCGGCAGCTCCCGGACAAAGACAGCTGGAATCAGCCCTCTGGCAGCACGAGAAATGAATCTCACTTCTCATTCTTCCCAACAAGCTGCTCTGGTTGTGCTCCTGTGAAGCCGGGGTGTGAATTCTTTACGGCGGGCTTTCCCTCCGGAGTAGCCCATCCTGCTACGGGGATGAGCCGTGCCGGTGCTCCGCGATCCCAGCGCCGGCTCCAAGGCGGCTGCGGCGCGTCGGCTCGGCAGCGGGGGGCCTTCCACACGCACCGCAGCCTTTCCTAAACGGAATTGCTCCGCTGTGCAGCGCGGGAGGAGGAGAACCGGCTCCGAGCGCGTTGCCATGGAAGCACCGGTCAATGGATGCACCCTCGGTCCTCCTGTGAATCATTTGCCGTGTTTGGGGCTTTGGGGTTTTTTTTTTTCTCCTTGCTATGATCAGCTGATGTTGCCGCCTGATGTCTGTCACGCCACGTCTCTCCGAGAGGCTTGGGAGAACAACAGGAGGCTGAAACAAAGCGCGTGGTGTAGGCTGAGCTCAGCGGAGGAGGCTGAGGGCTGCCCGAGCAGAGAGGGCTGGAGATGCTGCCCTGCATCCTCAGCCTCGCCAGGCCTTAGGGAGGATGATCCTGGCCATCCCTGCACTGGGAAAAGGCAGAATTTCCCTTTTTGTCACAGTTGGCATGAGCAAGGAAGCAGCACCTAGTGCAGTGTCAGAGGCCAGGTGAAGATGCAGGCGTGTGTGAACTGTGGCAATTCTGGGCCCATCACATGCAGAGGGTGTTTGAATCCAGAGATGTGTTGTTTCTTCCCGTAGAGCGGAAAGGCGTGTAGATTTTTCCATGCAGTTGCGGGCTTGCTCTTGGTATTTGTCATTTTGGCTGCAAGAATTAAATATAAATGACAAGAATTTTAATTTCTCAGAAGGGCTGCCTGAGTCAGCTAGGGAAAAAAACAAAAAACAAAGTCTCTATTGAGCGCTCATTCCGAACAAGAAGTTGCTTAATACATTCTGCTGAACTTCCCTGACCTGCTAGTGTTTGGAATAGCCGTGTGTTGTAAAACAGCTGCTCAGGTGAAGCTGCTTTTCCCCGCAGCGGCAGCGTGAGGATGCTCAGCTGGATCTTGGCCGCGTGCGGCGCGTAGGAGCCCATCTGGGTCAGGCCTGGTCCTCCTTGGGCTCTCCGCATCCCGCTCCTCCGCCGGCGCTGGCTCTTGCGTGCGGGGCTCTTTTGGCGCTGCCGTTGTGGCAGGCACGACGAAGCCGCTCCGACTCCCACGGGATGTGAATCATTGTGGTGTGACACATTCGGCGGTTCTCATGCTCATGCACAACCAGAGCTCCTCAAGCTCTAAATACACAACCCCAGAGATGAGATATTCTCCTCTGGCCTCCTGCAAAGACGCCGGCGGTGGTCAACAAAACCCCCTTTTGTTGTCCCGGTGTCAGAAGCGGAAGGTGCTTCTGGAATTGCTCTCTCCAGCTGCCGTGGTGGGAAGGTCCCGTCGCAGGTGGCTCTCTGAGGGCCACCCGGGGCGATGCTGTCCCCGCGCGTGCCCTTCCTCATGGAGGAAGAGCCGGTTTAGCAGCCTGGCCGCGGAAACCTCGGGACAACCTCAGCTTTCCTTGGCCTCCGTGGGAGGTTTCCTCCCTCTGCAGAGCTGGCTCTGCTCGGGAGCTGCTCCGTGTGTGCCGGGGAAGCCGGCGGGAGCAGCCGCGTGGCCAAGCGGGCAGGAGGAACGTGCTCCGCGTGAGCTGACAGCCACAACTCCCAGCAGTTACTGAGGGGTGAACTCGATATCACAAGCTGTCTCTATAATAGGTATCTGTCCCGAGTAACTTAATTAGCACCACTTAATTTCAGGCCCTGCAGTGAAAGACGCAGCACTGGAGAAAGCAAAAATTTATCTGGAGTGCAGGCTGCTCTAGAGACCGGAATCAGAAATGGGAAATGGAAGAGGCAGGGCAGGCTCTGGACTACCATAATGTGCAGTGTCCAGGGGGTAAAAGGGGGTTTCTTCCCCCGCTAAACCATGAAACTCGCTGCAGGAGGCTTAAACAGAGCAGTTTAGGAAGTGATAACCTTACCTGCTCGCTCTAGGCAGATGCAGTCACCTTGTTCTCACCTGAGACTGGAGAGAACTGCATTTTTCTCTGTGTCTCTTGCAATTCCGCTGCAGGGTTGCCCAACCTGTCAGGTAAGCTGTGGTCTTGCACTGGAAGCAATCCAGTGCCAGAGGCTCTGCCCAGATGGATGGCAAGGCTGTTGTCACGGGCACCTGCTTTTGCCAAGGACACCAGCACTGTGCAGTGCCCATGAGAGGCTCTTGGTGCTCCCGGTGGCTGATCACCCTCGCGTGTAGGGCTGTGTGTTCCTGAATTTTTGGCCCTTTCTAATTCCTGCTTTTTTGAGGCACGGGGTTACCGCTTCCGGCTGTGCCAGCTGCCCCAGGCTGACGTGCGAGCGGGACGGCTGCCAGACCGAGTTCTGCTACCACTGCAAGCAGATATGGCACCCCAACCAAACGTGCGACATGGCCCGCCAGCAGCGGGCACAGGCGCTCCGCGTACGGACCAAGCACACGTCGGGCCTCAGCTACGGCCAGGAGTCCGGCCCGGGTAGGGATTCCTGCGTTTCTGCTTACTCGGTGCTGCCTGTGGAGCTGAGAAAAAGCCCCTGCTTGTGCAGAGCTTCCTCTGATCAAAGGAGGGGTGTCAGTGGCCCGCGGGGAACGCTGCCACGTGGCGCACGTGAGGGTCTCCAGGAGCAGCGGGTGACAACAGCCGTGAAGCTGAGAGTCATTTCCCCTTCTCACATTAAGGGAAGAAGCCTGGCGGGCTCCTCCAAGGCAGCAGAAAATGAAGCAGAGCAGTCAGAGGTGACGCCGTGCGTTTGAGTCCTTTCTCAGCACTCGGTCTCTCCTCATCCGCCCCAGCTCTGCTTGTGGCTGTTTTGATCTTGGATGTTTTCATTTCTTGCTGATCTAAACTCTGAAAAAAAATAGGCGCTTTTAACCCTCCCCACCCCCAAATAAGACATATTACTTCTCCGAGCATGTCAGGAATGAAAATGTTAATACGCAGCTGCCACGAGTGGTTCAAAGGTGGCTCAGCTCTGCTCCGAGGTTCAACGTGTCCCTTACCAGGGCTCTAACTGAGGCAGCAGAGCCCCTGCCAGCGGCCGTGCTGCAAACCAGCAAACAAAAAAGCAGCCTCTGAGCTTTCCACCCTGTCCAAAGAGATCCCTGCCAGGAAGTGCTTAGAGCTTAGCCGCTGAAAGGGTGATTCTTGAGGGTGTTTTTTCCCTGCCCGCTCCTTGCTGAATGCGATGCAGTGATTAATAAGGTGCGAGCTGCTCTCTCAGCAGCTGGATTTCACGTTGTCGAGGGCCACTGCCAACAAAGCCCGAGCGGCGCAGCCGGCCATTGCGTAACCGTCACCAGATGACACTTGAATTCAAGAAGAGATGAAGGACCCTGGCTCCTGTTCTGCCAGCAGCAGAGCGGGGGCTCCGCAGCACGTGCAGCCGCTTCCCGTGCGCGGCCGCAGGGTCGTCCCCGCCGTGGGCTGCCCGGAACCCGGCTCAGAGCTTCTCCCAGTTGTTCTGGCTCTCCCAAAACGCCTGGTTCTCCCAATTGTTCTGCCGGTCTTGGCCCGTGAATCACCTCAGTGGAGCGATTTCATAATGGTTCTTGCTGACACTGTTGTCTTGGCTAGCTCAGGGCAGGTATAACTTGTTCCCAGGGTTTAAGCGTGTTCTGGAAGAGATCCCGTTCAAGCCTAGAATAAGCTTCTAAAATGACTGTTGTTCTCAGTCTCTGCTGTCCAGGCAAATAGCTTTGGCTGTTCAGGATTATCTTCTTGCTCTGTAGAGGAGCTGAAGACAGAACCAATTGGTCATATCCATCCCAGCCTTGTATTTGATTAGCGAATTTGCTCGGCCTTTGCAAGGGTTTCTCCCTGCCATGAGACCCCCTCCCTGGTTATTGATCCCCACAGCGTGCAGAGTCCAACTGAGTCCCTTGCCTCCCTCCTTCCCACAGCAGATGACATCAAGCCGTGTCCCCGCTGCAGCGCTTATATCATCAAGATGAATGACGGCAGCTGTAACCACATGACGTGCGCCGTGTGCGGCTGCGAGTTCTGCTGGCTCTGCATGAAGGAGATCTCGGATCTGCATTACCTCAGGTGAGTTCCTGTCACTCTGGCAGCGCCCGCTTCTCCAAGGGGGTGTTTGATTGCATGCACTTTCCTTTCATCCCCTTGCCTCCCCAGAACCAGACAGCAGAACTGTCTTCTTCCTTCCTAAAGATTTGAACTTTCTTCCTGCAAGAAAGTAAGGAGGCTCTTCCATACCAGGAAAGGCTCATTTGACTGAAAAAAAGTTGCATGTTAGAGCTCTTAACATTCTGGACATTAAACAGTCCCAGACGTGTGATAATCACCTTGATGAACAAATTAATCTTGGTGGAGAAGGAGAGAGGGCCTTTTGTTGCACGTTGCTTACCCATTTCCTGAGTTTTGGGTTTTGTTCCTGTGGATGTTGAACTTAGAGTTCTTGGGAACACTTAGGAGTTGTGGAGTTTTCAGTGTTTTTAACTTTTTTCCTTCCATTACAGTCCCTCTGGCTGTACGTTCTGGGGCAAAAAGCCATGGAGCCGTAAAAAGAAGATTCTCTGGCAGCTGGGCACGTTGATCGGGGCTCCTGTAGGAATCTCTCTCATTGCTGGCATTGCCATTCCCGCTATGGTCATTGGCATCCCGGTGTATGTTGGGAGAAAGGTAAGTGTGGAGAGTATAAGCCTGGAACTGGGGATTGTGCAGCTTGGGGTGTTCTCTGTAGCCAAAGCAGCTGCCCAGAGATGCAGCCGCGACGTGAAGCGTGGATGGATCTTTTCACAAAACTCAAATTCAGTCATCTCTTATAGAGCCTGTCTTATCTCTTGAGCTTTGAATGGGCAGAGGGAAGGTGGTGGCTGATAGCCCTTCAGCCTGAGCCCTCTCAAATGACTATCACATTGCTGTTGTGCTGCACATTGAAGCAGAAGCACCAGGGCAAGTCCTGGCCCCTTTTGACACAGGGCATCTCTGGGGCAGTGGCCAGATCCCGGGTATCACCTCTTGCCCAGAATAAGTCCCTGGTGTGTTTTGATGCTGATCTGCTGCCATTGGCTGGCTCCAGGGCTCTGCACTGCGTGGTGCTGCTGAGTCTGTGCTGACCAGGAGGCAACCAGAGGGAGGAAGTGGCTCCCTAAACACAGACCCACCTTCCAGCTCTGATCTGAGAAGAGATCTGTGCTCAGGATGAGGTTCTTCATAGGCTAACGCAGCTGCCAGGGCTGTAAAATCACAAGCTTATTCATATTGTCTGCTGGTGTTTGTTGCTGGCCAGGCTGTGTTCTCACCCGCTGCTTCTCCTTCCCTTAGATCCACAGTAGGTACGAGGGAAAGAAAACATCTAAGCACAAGAGGAACTTGGCCATTACTGGTGGGGTCACCCTGTCTGTCATTGCCTCCCCCGTCATCGCTGCGGTCAGTGTTGGTGAGTTGCTGCTGTTCTTTTCACTTCCATGGGCCAATAGTCACAGACACAAAGACTAGCCAAGCTCTGTGCGGGGTGGCCAAGGGGAATCTGCAGATTCCCCCTGTGCGTTTTCCTGGACCCTTCCTTCCATTTCACCCGCAGGCTGCCCAGCCTCGTGGGCAGAACAGCCCTGGTGCCCTGCAAAGCCTTGACCATAGCACAGGTCCTCCCTGCCTGGCCAACCCGGCCTTAAGCTCCTCTTAACCCAGTACATCCTCTTCTCCAGGTATTGGAGTCCCCATCATGCTGGCTTACGTGTACGGAGTCGTGCCGATCTCGCTGTGCCGAGGTGGTGGCTGCGGAGTTAGCACAGCCAACGGGAAGGGTGTGAAGATAGAGTTTGATGAAGATGATGGACCTATCACAGGTAATGTAATGGGTGAAGGGAAGGCGTTAAAGCACGACCCTCTCATTGCTTCCCGTAATGAAATGGCAGGAGACTTGTGTTTCCCAAATCTAACATATTTTTTAGTTTTCATAGAATCACAGAATGCTTAAGGTTGGAAGGGACTTCTAGAGGTCCTATAGTCCAACCCCCCTGCACATGCGGGGTCACTGGGGTTTGGCTAGAAGCAGTGATTCACCCCAGTCCTCTGCTGGGGATCAGCTGTGTGGCTCTTGTAGCAACATCTCAGTTCTCCCTTTGGCCGCTGGTACCCGAGATGTGGATCCTGCTGCTCGGGGTCTGGGCTGGCACAGGCCGGCGCCGTCACGCCGAGCGGTTCCCCGATGGCCTCGCTCTTCCTTCCCTCAGTGGCTGACGCCTGGCGAGCCCTGAAGAACCCCAGCATCGGTGAGAGCAGCATCGAGGGGCTGACGAGCGTGCTGAGCACCAGCGGGAGCCCCACGGACGGGCTCAGCGTCGTGCAGGGCAACTACAGCGAGACGGCCAGCTTCGCCGCGCTGTCCGGCGGCACCCTGAGCGGCGGCGTCCTCTCCGGAGGCAAGGGCAAGTACAGCAGGTAACGGAGCTCACACTCACTGCGGGATCCCAAAGCCTGTGCCAACGGGATGGGCTTCGATTGGGATGTGTGCGGACCTCTGGGGGACCCTCTGTGTGCCCAGGAGTCCCGTTCGGTGCTAGTGTCTTCACTCTTGGTTTGTGGCAGCGTTAGGCTGCTTGTTGCAAAGAGGACACAGCTGTTGAAAGAAGGTGCTGAACTCCTTGAAAGAGGGAAGCCGGCTCTCCAGGTTAATTGGGAACAGCCTGGAGATGCCTGCGTGGCCGGTTTATAGCTCTTCCAGGCCTCTAATCCCAGCCTGGTGCTGCCTCTTCCCTACTGGCTTGCAGCAGGCAGGATTGCTGCTTTCCAAGTCAGGAGGTTACAGCACAGTTTTCCTCCAAGCCCGCCTGTGAGTCAGTCTGCTGGGTAATTAGAGACACGTGTTGATCTAGCAGCCAGGATGTAATCATGACTCTGTGCTCGATCCGTGGAAATCTGTTCTTCGCGGGAATTGCATGAGTCATAGTTATAAACACAACTTCACCTTCGTCATGGAAAACAGAATGGATTTACCTAAATGGAGCCAAGTTTGAGACTAAAGGAAGCTAAACCATTGGAGATAAAGTCCTTGGTGCCCAGCTGGGCCAGCACACGGGGACACCAGGTTTCCCAGGGCAAACAGTAACTGTTTGGTGCCCTCATGGACCAGCTAAGTAATTTCTGAGCATTTCTCTCCTCTCCTGCAGGCTGGAAGTGCAAGCAGATGTCCAGAAGGAGATTTTCCCCAAAGACTCTGTTAGCTTGGGGGCTATCAGCGACAACGCCAGCACTCGAGCCATGGCCGGCTCCATCATCAGCTCCTACAACCCCCAGGACAGGTAGGACATGGGGTGGGAATTCCGGAGGAATCCATGCCCCAGGAGGTGCTGCTGTAGGTCCTGGCCTGCTCCTTGTCCCTGGAGAGGGGAGGGATCCGTTTTCTCCCACAGAAGGAGGGCAGGGGCTGTTTGGAAGTGGCCTCCACCTGTAACTGCAGCTGGTGGTGCTTGTTTCTGCAGGGAGTGCAATAACATGGAGATCCAGGTGGACATCGAAGCCAAACCAAGTCACTACCAGCTGGCCAGCGGCAGCAGCACAGAGGATTCTCTGCACGTCCACACCCAAATGGCAGAGAATGAGGAAGAGGAGGAGGAGGAGGAGGAAGAGGACGGCGAGCAGGAGCAGCCATGCAAACACCAAAGCTGCGAGCAAAAGGACTGCATTGCCAGCAAAACCTGGGACATCACCCTGGCCCAGCCCGAGAGCATCCGGAGCGACCTGGAGAGCTCCGACAGCCAGTCGGACGACGTGCCCGACATCCCGTCGGACGAGAGCGGCTCCCCCCGCTCCCAGACCGCGGCCGCCCGCCCGCGTCCCCCCGGAGCCGAGAGCCCAAGTGCCCCCCTGGGCCACTGTGCCCACGCAGAGGGCTACCGGCTCGAGGAGATGGTCCAGCTGGAGTGCATCGAAGCCAGAGTATGAGGGGCCTCGCGCGGAGGAGCTCGCGCTCTCCTTGCAGCTTTCGGGCAGGGTCGTGTCCGTGTCGGCTTCTGTCTGCAGCTCTCTAGTTGGCTCCCCGGCCTCGCCTGGGGGAGCTGCTGTTTCGTACATGACAAAAGAGAAACCGCCCCCCACCTTCTTTTTGTTTTAATTTATTGGTTCAAGCGCTTTATAGTGAGGTGCGTAAGAGTGTAAATATGTACGTGCGTCTGTATGTCTGCAAACATCTAAAGGACTGTTGGAATAAAGACTCTGGTTGTCATTCCACTTGCATCTAGCTCGTCCTTTCCAGAGGTGTTTGGTGAATCCTCTCCCTCGTTCTGCCCCTTGCTTGGGATATCTGCACAGGAGAACTGGATTTGTCCCATTTTGCCTCGAGAAAGCGGGATGTGGCTGCCTTGTTGTCCCATCCGTGTTGGGGACGGCTCCTCTCTCAGCGCCCTGTGCAGCAGGACGGTTCAGAGAGGGTCCCCGCGCGGGGACCGCGGAGCAGCCCTGGGGCCGAGCAGGGCCGGCCGGAGGGGAAGGGGCTCCCACGGGGTCGCTGCTGCTGCTGGGCAGCTCTTCCCAGCGCCGCTCTGCTCCGCGCTTTGGGATCCTTCTCCCGGGATCCCGGGAGCTGCGGAGGCTCCTCTCAGCCCCGCGCTGCTGGCACGAAGTCCCCGACGGTGCTGCTGGATGCAGGGCAATGGGACGGACCC